CACTCATTCATTAGTTTTAATTAAACCCTGTAATTTTATTTATGCTGCCACAAACTGATTAACAATTTGTCAGCAAAGAGCAGGGAGTCTTAAAAAGCATCTTGAGGAATCTGTGGGTCTCTGAACACAGACTTCATGGCAATGAGGTGGGCAGTGGTAGGGGCTTCTGCCGAGTTGGAAGAGGCAAGTTATCAAAGCCTTACTCCTCAGACAGCTTTGGGGCAGGCGGTGGCTCTGAGATCTGCATTCATCCAGGGGCTGATACCTACCTGAAAGGCAGCGGCCGCAACTCCAGCTGCAGTGATGAGGGGTCCTGGGGTTGGGATCAGTGGGAGAGGGGACAGGATTGGGATTGGCGTCATGTGTCTCTACAGCAAAAGGACCAAGATTGTGGGTCAGCAGAGATCTCATTTCCTGGTCCAGAGGGGAAATGGACACTGACCCAGCCTATTATAGTCTGGTGAGGGGAGAGAGGAAGGAGAGAGAACAGGGTGGTGGGGTGTGTCAGGGAGTGGGGTGGGGAAGCACTAGGGACCACTGTGGAGGACTGTGGATGCTTTGGTGGTGGGAGAGCTATGGTGACCATACCTGCAGGGAGAAATTCTATATGGCTACAATATTAACAAGGATGTAAAACAAATGGTATTGCATTTAAAAATGAAGTAATTCATTCATTAAAAAAGCAGTCTAGGGCCCTCCCTGGTGGCGCAGTGGGTTAAAGCACTGCACAAAGAAGCTTAAGCCACTTCCACATGAGTTTGATCCCCGCCTGCCCGGAGGAGATCCACATGGCGTGGCAGACCTCTCCTGACCCGCCCTCTGCTCCCCTCAGCAGTGTACTTCGTCAATCTGCCTGTTCTGCTCCCCACTCTGTCTCTGCTGAATCCTCTCACCCTCCGCATCTCTGGCCTGTACCCCAATAAATAAATCTTAAAAAAAAAATAGCAGTCTAGTGAGTGGTGTGCTACAGCTAAGAACACAGAGCAAGGACTCCCTGAGCCTGAAGGCTGGTGTTGAAAAAAATGTTATGAAAGAGCTGAAACTTGAGCTAAATCATGGAGGATTTATCACCACACTGACAACCCAGAGAAGTGACTCATCCGCTTTCCAAAGGTCTGGCACATTGCTAGCACCCACTAGCAGGGCGAGAAAAGTGAATGAAAGAGTCTAACGGGGTGACTTGGGAATTTTAATCCAGGAATGTAAACCTGTTCCCTCTCCCCACTCTAAAAATCACTATCTAACTTAGCTTTTTCAGTCCCTGGTAGTGAAGAGGAAAGAAAACTATGTCTTTGCCAGAGAATATCATCCAGGTCACATATGATGAGTCTGGCCAGTATTTCTCTATGGTATTAAAGCCTTTGCATCCTGTCAGGTAAATATTGAGTTTATTTTGTGGAAATACCACATGGTCCAGCATTACCTGATATTTATCAGCTGAATATGAAAACATGAATTCAAATAGATCTATACACTCCTGTGTTTATAGCAACATTATTCATATTAGCTAAGACATGAAGACAACCTAAATGCCCAAGACTCTAGATAGAGAAGTTCCGGAATATATACTCAATGGAACACTGTTGAGCTATGAAAAAAAGGTTGAAATCTTGCTGTCTGCAACAACATGGATGGCATTTGAGGTGATTATGCTAAGTGAAATACTACAGAACATGAAAGACAGTTATCAGATGGTTCCTCTTGTATGTGGACTATAAATAACGAAAACAAACCAATGAAGCACAACAAAAATAACTTCAAACCTATGAAAAACACATTGGTTAACAGAGCGGGAAAGGAAGGGGGTGGGGAGAGGTAGAAGCTGTCAGTTTTATAGTGGGAAGGGCTCTAGAACTTTGATGCTGGGTAAAGTGAAGCTTACTTGCTTATCTGCTAAAAATATATTTAGCATTAGCTTTTCTATTGGTTGCCAACATAACTCTAAATCCCTCTGGAAACTGCAAACATATGCACAGATAGAAAACAAGACAGAAGCTAAGAGACTGGTTACAACAGTCAAGACAGCTGAACAAAGAGGAAGGAGAAACAGGGCAGGTGTGTAAGCGGTGGAGGAGACAGAACTGATCGGGCTTGAGGACCGAGAGTGGATGTAGGTAGGAGGGGGAGAGTCTTGGTTGCAAATATTACTAATAAATTAGTAGAAGTCCCACCATTCTTAATACCCTATCTGTGTCACTCTGTTTAGACTACTAATATCAAAGACTGCATGGTTTATAAAATGTTCTGGAGGTTGGCATGTTCAAGATGTCAGGGGATTTAGGATTTGGTGAGAGCCCAATTTTCTGATTCTTAGGTAAACATTTTTTCTCTGTGTCCTCTCATGGCAGAAGGGGCAAAGGGTCCCTCTGGAGTCTCTTTTAGAGATCTCCAGGCCTGATTACTACTCTCAGCCTAGAGAGAGTACATAAAACCTGCAATTAACTAACTACACTTCACCTAAATAGCTTTACTGAATTAATGCCTTTGCATCATGATGCCTTTTCTAAATTAAAGGCTATATAAAGGATAATTACAAATGGATAGGATATGATGTGTTTTCTGTCTTTATGCTCCAGACTTACTCTTCCTCTCTCTACCCTATCCTGTTCCTTAAGAGGCTGACCTATATGGTTCCCTTGCCCTCTGACTTTTGGTAGGCTTTGACCAATCGGTGATTAGACACAAGCAGATGCAACAAAATAAGATGGTGAAATCAGGATATTTTTTTCCCCAGCTCCCTCCTGCTGAGTGACCAAGGGAAAGAGTGCATTTCTCTTGTCCATTCAGCTATTTTCTTTTTGGGACAGAGTACCACAGACAATAGAAATGAAATCTTTTTCATTTGCAGGGGCTAGAAGTCTGAGAGCTGGCTTTTTTTCCACAGACTTTCTTCTTACTTGCAGATGGCCATCTTTCTCCCTTTGTCCTTCAATTCTCTACTCCGTGCTTGTTTGTGTCTTCATCTCTTCTTAGAAAGGCATCAGTTATACTGGGATAGGGCCCACCCTAGTGGCCTCATATAAACTTTCAATCTTCAAAGACCCTGTCTCCAAATACAATTCCACTCTGAGATAGTGAAGGTGAGGATTTTAGAATCTGGAAGGACACATTTCAGTCCATAACAGAAGGAATAGGTCTTCGCTACCCCAGGGACACTTCATGAGTCATGTCCCCAAACCCTGCACACACCTTTGTAAAAACCTTTATAAATTCTCAACCATTTTGATATACAGGACCTCTTCAAAACAGTACACATAACAAAAAGGGACTGCATTCTCGAAACAGTTGTGAGCAACCGTATAACTGAAGGAAACTCTGTTTTCACATTTAATCATTAAAACCATTATCTTCCCAACGGTCTATTTTCAACTTTTTATTTGAGAGAACAGGAGAACTTTATTCCTTTATATATATAAAAAAAGTTTCATTTTTATGTGGTCTAACCAGAGGCATATGGTTGTGACAGGACAAAGAAGGTGATATTAACAAGCATCATGAAGTTCACTTCCCGACTTTGACTTTGTGTTGTTGACTTCAGTCTTCAGAATAAGGTGAAGCCTGTGTACTGTTATGTAGTCCTTGACCCATCGCAGGTTCTTGTCCCACAAAGCTGTAAAAAGGAATTCACAAACTTCTAAGATAAGTGAGCAAAGAGAAACACACTTTATTAAAAAATGCAATGAACAGTTTATTCAAAGGGAAAAATGTTGATGCCCAGGTGCAGAAGGCAGAGAAGCCTTTATGGGCCCAAGCCTAAGGGTATTTACCCCTTTTTCTCTGTTCCAAAATCTCATCATCCTGCTTTGTGATTGGCTTTTTCTCCTAGGGACTGTACTCCTCCTGGTAGATGTGCCCCATTCCCCTGCTCTCAAGAGTTTTTCTTTTCCCTCCCCTGTCCAAGGTCTCTTAAAAGTTACTGTCCCCACGAACCTTACAGTTTAGCCTTAAAATATACGGCTCCCATTAGCCCTCCTGGGTTTGTGCCCTCATCTCTGCAGTATGTTTTGGTTAGCACCTCTTAGAATGTACTGTCCTTATCTTTAATCTTCCGAAGTCCCTGTCTGTACTGTCATTAAAGCTGCCCAGAACTACTCCCAAGGACTATCCCCAAGGACTAGGGCCTTCGCTGCCCAGAACCAAAGATGTTTTTTTGTTCACTGCAACTCCCTGAGAACTTTCTGTCCCTCACCCCTGGAAAACCTACCCTCTGCCAGCACCAGAAGCTCTGGGCTGAGAACTTGCTCACAGCTCCCACTCAACACTGCTACTCCTTAAGGCATAGCGTCTTCTGAACCTATGTGTGGATATTTTGTTTCTTCAAATGCTCCCAACTAAAATATTGATCTGGCTCAAAATCCTCCCTACCTCCTTGACCTGTGAACAGACGTTAAATAATTGACGCTCAAGACAGGTAAAAGGCTCACCCCACAACCACACTTATCAGTCCTGTCCCACAAGGAGGGGGAGAAGAGGAGGTGGTGGTATGTTGCCTAGGGGGGGCTGAGGGGGTGGGGAAAAAGGGGAGGGTGAGAAGAATTAACCCTTATTCTTCACGTGTTTAAAATCTTGCGAGACCCAGGAAGATCACAACATCTAATTCCCATGGTTACTGAAATGTGGGGCGCTCAACTCTGGCTTCCTCCCACAAGCTTACTTTTTTCTTTTTGTAACTCGCGGTCACTCGCAAATACTCAATTCCCACGCCCAGCTGCATACATCCCCCACCCCTCCCCGGTAATATGCCTTTTCATTCTTATCATCGCCTTACTACAGAGCTCCTTATCACCAAGTGCAGCACTTGTCCCAAACCACACTGTAGGTTCACATCAACAAGATACTCACACCCCACTCACAGGTAGCGAGGCGGGGCTACAGGCGTTCCCCAAGTCACGTGGTCTCGCCCGCAGCGTTAAACAGACTCGGAGGCGCCTGCGCCCTGGCTTCACTCGCGCTAGTCCTGGTCGGTGTCACTGTTGTGGGCGGTGCTTTCGAAGGCCGAAGACGCATGCGCCGGTCCCTGTCGGGTCCCTCGGTTGCAGGCGGCGTCGACGTCTGCGTTTCCTTACGGGCGTCTGTGCGCCCCCAGGGTGAGTGTTCCGGCGGCTGGGCTGGACGTCGGGAGGGGGGTGTCTGGGTCCCACTTGGGCCCCCCGCAGATGGCCGCGGCAGGGTCCTGGGCTCCAGGACGAAGTGAAGGAATCTGCGCGAGGGCGGACGGGAACCGGCATTGCGTGTCCGCCCGCCTGCGACCGGAAGTGACGGCGGGCGCGCTCACCTAGGGTGGCGGGGGGCGACTCCCGCCGGCCCGCGGGCATCAGCGCCCCCACCCCTCTTCCCGGGAGGCCCCCGCGACCGAGCGTCAGCTTCGCAGCTGTGTGTCAGGCCGCCGCGCACAGTTAGCTCCACCCTGTTTGCTCTCTCTTAAAATCAGTATCGGAGTTGTTAGTAGAAAGAGAAAGTCGGGATGAATACAACTCGGCTGCTGTGGGTGTTGATACTTGGACGGTAGGAGTGAGAGAAGGCGGATTGTGCAGCCTTTATATAAATGCTGTCGTAGCATCATGATTTCCATCCCTCTTCCACCCTATTCCAAGCGGCCATCACTTTTCACCCGTTGTCTCCTGCCATCTGCTGTTTGCACTGTTTCCTTCAACCCATTATCCGTTCGGTACAGGAGCCCTAGTATCTTTTATAAGCAAATGGGGCATGCCATCATCACCCTGCTTATAAGTCATCCCATTACACTTGGTGTTAAATCCAAGTTATGTTCCCCAAGCCCTGTGTGACCTGATCCTTGCCCACCCCTCCACCTTCACTTAGTCTCTCCCACCCCTAGCTATGTTTTTGACAAGCAAACCTTCAAGCCAGAATACAGCTTGCTCCTGGCCACAGATCATGATGCTTTGAGGAGTGTTAGACGATACCATGTAAGAGACAGCGCAATGAATGAAGCCCTTACCAGTTCGTTTAACTAGGCTGTTCATGTACAACATAAAACCTCTCACTGTGCTCCAACCCCTCCACGTTTTCCCAAACACACCGGCTCCTAGAGTCTTTGAAGTCACATACCTTGTTTCTTTGCAAGATGTTCACTCCACTTTTGGCCTAATTAACTCCTAGTCATCTTTCAGATACTTGCTCAACTAGTTTGAAGACTCTGAGCCAAAATCTTGTTCTTTGTTGAATATGGAGATTAGTGATAGAGCAACAGGTTCACCCTTTTTTCCTGAAATAATGAAAAGGCCCCCACGTGGAGGAACTTTCTTACTCTATTCTGCACTTAACCTTTTCAGTGTTAGCTTCTAACTGAATGAACCCCGTTTTGGGATTGCTGTTCTGTCTGTTGACGTGTCCACATCTTGTCCCATTGTTTCTCAAGCTCAGGCAGCATTTCTTACTGCCTGTTGGACACATTACTGGTCTCTTCCACCAGTCCCTTTCCCTTCTTCTCACCTATTCCATTCTGAGAGCCATTTGTGTAATTGAATTCACCACTGACTCAGTTGTCCAAAGAAAACTTTTTGTTACTTTAGACTTCTTTTTGACTCTTACTTTCTTTCAGTATTGAGCACATCTTGTATATTAGGCCCAGGGCTGGGTATTCATAGCTTGTACATGTTTTTTGCTCTAGATATAATGCATTATCTCCTCCGGTATCCAAGCTGACTCTTGCTGGTGCCTCTCCTGTGGACCTTCCCCACGTATTTTTACTGACTGACTTCCCTACTAGAGAATGAGCCACTGGACCAGATGACTTTAATTTCTTGGAAACTTTGTATGCTACTGCTGGGCAGCTGTGATCTTATTTAAGTAGGAACTAGTGGGGGCTTTGTGGAAGAATTTAGGATAATTTCATAGAAATAAAGTGTCAGTGCTGAAAGAAAACTTAGTTTATTCACAGTATATGAAAAATGAGACTGCTACATGATCAAAATAAAGAAAATCATGCCATTTGTGGTAACATGGATGGAGCTGGAAGGGATTATTCTAAGTACAGTGAGTCCAAAGGAAAAATAAATGTTGATTGAGTTCATCATGTGTGGAATATAGAGAAGTGGAACCAAGGATCAGGAAAAAGACAAATGTGCACGCTGACCATAGATCTGAGGCCTACAGCAAGGGAGTGACAGGGGTCGGAACACACGGGGAGAGTACAAGGAGGAAGGTGAATCAGTGCTGTGGTGGTAGGGGAATGGGGACTGCACCTGAGGGGAGAAATCAAATACTGTACGGTCATTAATAATGAAGTAGGAAAATAAGTTCAAAAAGAAAAACAAGGTTGCCTCTTGACTGCCTTTTATGGTGGTCATTAAATTGTTAGGCAGGTGGTATAGTGAATGCATTTTCATTCAGGGAGCTTCTGAGCAGGTAGAGTCATGTCAAATGTGAAAGTTCCCCTTTATTCCTCCTTGTTCTTTTCGCATCTTTTCCCAGCGGTTGCAGGTTCATGGGTATTTCCAGGTCACTTTTTCATACACACAGTTATGGATACACATTTTTTCAATATAAAGGTTTTTATCCTGTGCACCTTTTTTCATTTTAATTGGCTTTTATACCTGTGTCACTAAAAATACTTCATTCCTACATTAGTAAAAACATGCTGCACTAAACATCCTTGTTTAGATCTGAATATTTCTCTGGAATAAAAAAACACTAGACTAGCTGGCCAAAGGTTGTGTGCATTTTGTCTTGATAGATACTGCTAAATTAACCTCCAAAAGGGCTACACTAGTTTATATTCCTGCCAGCAGTATGTAAACAGTTAGGTTTTCCTTATCTACACTTAATAGTTTTGCCAGTTTAATATCTGAGATATATTATGTTTTGACTGAGATATTATGTATTGATTTGGAATAATTTTTGAGAATATTTTAATTAATCTTTCTCAAATTCTCATTTGAGTGATTTCTATTTTTATTGCTACAAATGTTCAACTTTAAAATTTCTAGTGTTAGATTGGTAAGAAATTCTCTCTTTATGTCCCTGAATCTACATAATACAGTTGATCACGCCACTGTAATCACTTGTGCTATAATGCAGTGAAGATGCCAACTTAGAAAGCAGCAGTTAGATGACTTCAGATGATTTGGAGAAGATTTGGCGATCCCTGAGGATTTTGGTGGCCAGGCTGCCCTGATATCTCCATTTCTCTTCCTTTTTGTCTGTTAACAGAACTCAGGAAGAAGATAGTCTATATCCTTTTAACAAAAGAGGATGTGGAAAGTTGAATTTTTGAGAAATCATTAGAAGCTACACAAACACCAATTCTACAAAACCAAAAGGCTTATTAAAATTTCTTTTTCCTTTTAGTCTGTAGAGGATGCCAAATGAGGGAATCTCCCATCTGAATCAAACTCAGGAGCAAGACTACTTTCAAGGTCAACATGGCAGTGAGAGTGAAGAAATGACAGTCCAGCCAGAAAATGATGGCCACGCCGGGGTGGAGGAGAGTCTTCCGTCATGTTCCTCTGCCAGCGGGCTGTCCACGTCCATGTCCATGGGAGGGTGTCCGCCAGAGGGTCCCAAGAAAGGGCTGGCCAGGCTTCACATCGACAGACACCAGATCCAGACGGTCGAGGCGAGTGCACAGGCCCTTGAACTTCAGGGCTTGGGCGTGGATGTCTATGACCAGGATGTGCTGGAGCAAGGTGTGCTTCAGCAGGTGGACAGCGCGATCCATGAGGCCAGCCGCGTGGCCCAGCTCGCTGATGCGGAGAAGGAATATCGTTCCGTTCTGGATGACCTCACGTGAGTGTGGCGCTTCTACCTGATGTCAGAGCTTGTGTTTACGTATAACAGAGACATTCAGAGAATAGCTAAAAACTTGAGATTTTGAGTACCTCTTACTTGGGATGGCGTCATTAAGGACGTCTGGATCTTGTGGTTGAACCCAGCCTTTCCCTCAGGGGCAGCACTGTGTACAGTAGCGAGGGTCTCTGTCCAGTGCACCACAGCTGTGCTGGTATCTGAGGACAGCCTCGCCTGTGCACGAGTGGCTGGCGGGTGCAGGACCCCAAGTGCTGCATGGTCCTACTCAACGTTGGGAACACGTCTGTGACCCCGCTCCCCCACATCCCCACCGCAGTTTTCTCTGTTCTATAGTTTCTTTCTAGTCTTGTGTCCCTAAACTGTTAGTTTTGTGGCAATTTTTCAGATTTGCATTTCTAGAAACGAGAAACAACTCCCTGCTTTCCTTTTTTTCTGCCCTACTTTTAACTCTATAAGGAAAGATGAAGTACCACGGAGACTTCATTTATGTTTCAGAAGAGAAAAAGACTTGAACTCTGTCGAGCATAAACCATCATGGGCAGGGCGGGTGGGCTCTGCACCTGGGCTAATGTAGCAGGGTGAGCCCACTCCCTATTGACAGTTGCCCCGTCTTGGTCAGTGTTGGGGGCAGAGTCAAGCAAGCAAGAGAGAGGCGAGGGATGGCGCCTCACCCATGGTGTCCCTAGGGGATCACAGCAAAGGGAGCACCTCTGGCTATCCCAAGGGAGAGGCTGTAGTACCAGTGGCTCTTGGCACTTCATGGATAAGTTTGCTGAATATCCTGGTATGTTCTTTAGCTTCTTGAGTAGCAGGTGTTCTCTGGCAGTTGTAGTCTGACCTTCAAGTGTGAGCACCTAGACTCCTTGTAATGACCACACTTTTACCTTTGACCTTGGAAATGTGTCCGCTACTTGCAGAGGTGACAAAGGAGAGTGCTGCAGGCTCACAAGGCAGGGGTCACTAGACTGATACTGACACTGACACGTGGTGCTTAGACCACTGGTAACTTGCGTTGATGACGTCTTTTATCCTACAATCTGCAAGGGATACAAATAGCAAATTATGCAAGTCAGGCAGTTACATAAGTGCTGTGAAAATAGCTATAATTTTGTGGAGTCTGTTTTAGGAGTAATTTATAAATATTTTTCACCGTCGCACTACAAGTATGATGCTACTTGAGTCTTCCAGTTGTGTGAATGAAAAATATTGTCATAGATGTCTGGCTTATATAAGAAACTGTTAGAACAGATTTAGTACTTTTTCAGACTTCCGTAGTAAGTCTTTGAAACCCACGCATAGTTGACAGTGGGAAGAGGGGGCCTGTTTCATGTTTGGGGTAGGGGTTGTGTGGGGAGTTGTTCCACCTACTTTAAAAAGAATGTATTTTTTCATATAAAAGGACAACTTATTGCACATTGTTATAGAACCATTTCTTGAGTAAAGCAGACACATAAAAATGCTTGTAAATTGAATGATCAGTTAATGAATGGGATGAGCTGATTTAAATCAGAGAGGAGTACTAGAGGTCATTTTCCACTTCTAACAACCTATCCAGTTCTGTTAGTAGCTAAAAAGAATATGAGTGCTGGTTAAGGTTTGTTTTATCTATAGGTAATAGAAGTAAAAACAGACATGTTTTCAGCATTTCTCTCTTTGAAAAATGTTATCAGAGTGGAAAATAGACATTTTATTTTCTTTTGCAGGTCATGTACAACATCCCTAAGGCAAATCAATAAAATTATTGAACAACTCAGCCCTCAAGCTGCCACCAACAGAGACGTCAACAGGAAACTAGATTCTGTAAAACGACAGAAGTATAATAAGGTGACTCCAAATAACACATTAAATATTGCATTTTTGAAAAAGTCATCATCTAGACTAATTTAACACTGAGAAAATATTCTGAGAAGTATTTATAAGATGTGAAGCAAAGGGGCATCCCTTGTGGCACAAGGGATTAAAGTGCAGCACTATGAAGCTGTCCGCAGCCAATGCAGCACCAGTTCGATCCCCAGCCAGGGAGCTGACCCACAAGGCACAGCAGACCTCTCCTGTCCTACCGCTGCTCCCCTCAGCAGTGTATTTTGGTCAAGCCACCTGTTCTGTTCCTCATTCTGTGTCTAGTGGATCCTCTCACCACCACCTGCTCCCCGCCTCCCGCACCTCTGGCCTGTACTTCAATTCTTGTATGCATAAATAAATCTTTTTTTTTTAAAAAAAGGTGTGAAGCAAATGCTTATAATAAGATTCTTTAATTCCTTTTGTGTGTTTAATATTTTGTCTGTTTTTTTTTTTTTTACATTTTGTATTAAAGAGTATTTCAAAAATACAGACATACCTTCACACAAACATCGCATACCTATTTGAGACTCTTCCCTTTTTGGCTCTGTGAGCTTCCTTGTGTATTCCCATAGTCTGTCTTGCTTTACTATTTTCTTTTATCCAGCTTAGGCTTTTGTTGGGTGTGCTGATACCTTGTCTTGCCTGAACTTTCCTTTCTCCTGTTAGCTCCTGCTTGCACTGGTTGTCTACTCTGCTTCCTGCTGATGTCGCCATCACTCCTCACAATCATGTTCACTGTCTTCAGAGGCTGCTCTAGCTTTTGCTGTCACCAGCCAACCACACTGGCTGGGTGTGCATCTAGGGCCATACCACTTAAGGGTAGGGAATATCAGTTATTTAGGACATTGTATGAGCTTCGAAACATTTATTAGAATGTATGCTTTATAAAAATACATTTTAGGCCCTCCCTGGTGGCGCAGCGGGTTAAAGCACAGCACTAAGAAGCTAAAAGCCACTTCCGCATGAGTTCGATTCCTGCCTGTCCCGGAGGTGACCACATGGCGCGGCAGACCTCTCCTGACCCGCCCGCTGCTCCCCTTAGCAGTGTACTTCGTCAATCTGCCTGTTCTGCTCCCCGCTCTGTCTCTGGTGAAGCCTCTCACCCTCCGCATCTCTGGCCTGTACCCCAGTTCTCTACAAATAAATAAATAAATCTTTAAAAAAAATACATTTTAGTCTGTAAGAATGGCTAGTTTTGATCTTTATTTCCAATATTCAAAATGACTAATCCATACTCTGTGTTTGCACTTGATTCATTGTACCAAGTAGCATCCTTGAGTTTTTTAAGCTTCACTGGGGTGGGGGATGGTATTCTTAGCCCCAGTTTTGCCTTTTCTTATCCATTCATTAGCCCATTGTCTTCATCACACCAGCTTCCCACACTGTCGGAATAGCAGCCCAAAGGTCAGAACTACAATGACTTGAGGCAGCCAGGCTGTCCCCAAATCAGAGGAGACAGCTGACCTCATGGAGAATGTGAATGAATTTGCCAAGGCTGCCTCTGACCTGGGGCTTCTTGTGAGCCAGGGTTTCAAAGAGCAGATAGGCCCAACATTTAGGCTACTTTAGGTATTTGTCTAGCTCAAATTCCCTATCATTCTTTAGCAGTTCTCTTATGCTAGGAGTAGACTACTTAGTGCTTAATCTTGCCTTGGTACCACAGGCCTATTTAATTTAGAAAATGCTAGGAATGATCACATGCCTGAGCTCTGATGATGTACAGGGAGATAAGACAGAAGAGTGTGGGGTGGGAATGATAACAGTGTGTATCTGAACATATTTTCCTTTGAAATCTTGTGATTGGATAGAGTGCTATAAAGATCAATCATAAATATGGTAGGCTATCAAAGGGGCTGACTATCAACTGTTTGAACATTTGGGTTTATGTTTCTTATCCTTACAGCCTATTGGGCTCATAGCCTGTTGCTACTCAGAAACTCAGAGAATGTTAGTGACTTGCCTGGTACAAAATGACAATAGCAGTGCCAGTCAGCACATGTGAACAGAAGTGCCCAGCACAGAAAAAACCGCCTGGCCAGGAGAGCAGTGGGGGCAGGAATGACCTGCTTGGTGAAAAAGCACGAAGCGGACTTCCCGGGAGGAAAGTGGTGACAAGTCAGATTCTCAATAGTAATAACATTATATGAACTTCTGGGTTTCATTTTTTGTTTTTTTTAGATTTTTATTTATTTGTGCATACAGAACTGGGGTACAGATCAGAGGCTCAGGGGCGGTGAGAGGCTTCACCAGAGACAGAGTGGGGAACAGAACAGGCAGATCAACGAAGTACACTGTTGGAGCAGCGGGCGGGTCAGGAGAGGTCTGGGGCACCATGTGGTCACCTCCGGGGCAGGCAGGAATCGAACTCATGCGGAAGAGGCTTTAGAGTCTCCGTGCTGTGCTTTAACCCACTGCGCCACCAGGGAGGACCTCTGTGTTTCATTTTTATTTTTCTCTTGGTTAAAATTTTTAGCTTTTTGTAATGCTGCTGTTTCTACTTAACGATATATCATTTCACTGCTATTTATTCAATATTTACTATTTAAGGAGCAACAACTGAAGAAGATCACAGCAAAACAAAAACGTCTCCAGGCCATCCTGGGAGGAGCAGAGGTGAACATTGAAATGGATCATGCCAGTCTGGAGGAGGAGGATGCAGGTGAGGCTGCTGGGCACACTCTGTGTCCTTGACTTGATGCCATGGCCAGTGCAGGTGCTCTCTCTAGTCCTGGGCTGGGTTTTGAGAGAAATGCCTTTCTTTGCCTTAGTGTCAAGACAGATTTAGGAAAATTTTAACTTCTATGTCTGCTAGAGAACTGAATCTCTCAAGCTCTTGGAGGTTGGTGTACATTTAATATCACGTTTAATACATCAGAAATATTAACATTCCAGTGCAGTTAATTTCACAGACAACTGACACCCTGACAGGGTTACATTTGTAACCCCAGCGTCATCAGTCAGCACTCATAAAATTGCTTCCACATGTCTTTTTTGGACATGTTTGGGAGACCTTCCAAACATTGATTCATTTGTTTAAAAAAAGACATCTTCATTTACATTATATCATTTTCGTGATTTTGTTTCTGTCACTACTTTGGATGGACAGCTTTTAGAAAGCCTTTTGGGAAAATGTATAAGCTTTGAAAGTAAATATCTTAATCTCTGTGTGTGAATGCAGACATTGTTGGAAGCTGCTCAGTCACTTCATTGAAAAATAGATTAAGGGTTCTGAGCATTTAGATTCTTCAATAAGTATTTCTAGTAGCTCCAAAAGTTTATTCACTAAGACAAAAGAATTATTATCAGAAATTAATTGAAGCAATGGAAAAATATTGGAAAGATAGCTTTTTTCAGGATTTCAAGCTGTATCTGCTCTTCTTGTACTAGCTCTTTCCAAAATGATGTCATGCGCACCCCTTAACTTTTGTGACCATTTAGGTTCTAGTATATTATAAAGGCCTTTGACCTTACCATTTTCCTGCACTCCTGTTAAATCTCTTCATCCAGGTTCCTGCCAGCGCTTGGGTCTCTTGGGCTCTGTTATCGTGCTCCCGCCCTCATCCTATCTGGGCTGTTGGTGCCCTTTGCGCTCTCTGTGAGGCAGAGGCCGCACTCTGCATTGCTGCGTACTGGCCTTGGCCATGTTCCTAACCTCAAGTTTGCTATGAACCTGAGATAGGCAAACCAAAGTAGACCTGAGTTTCTTTGCTTATATGCTACCATATGATTTCTTTTCCCCTTTCTTCACTTAGTGACCTACTTCATAACTGCTTTTATTTGATAAAGAATTCTTTTCTGGAAGTAGGCGAGATGAGGATAAATAAAACAAAACAAAACTTTGCAATAACTGACTTTACTTCTTTGATCTGGGAAGAGGAGGTTGGATGAGAGAAGGTCCTTGCTCTCTTCTCTCTAACATTGCACTGGACAGTGCAGTAATGGAAGAAGAGAAATTGAAAGCATAAGAATTACAAGAATAAATGCAATCATTATTTATAGAATGCTTGTTGTAGAAAATTCAAAAGAATCAGTGGATGATCTCTGGAACCAATATGTGAATTTAGCAATAATACTCAAAACTAAATTTAATAAAGATACCAATTGTAATAAAAATCAAATATCTAGAAATAAGCCTAATCAAGAAATGTAGTTTTCTATAATGCTGTCTGCATTAAAAACTACAAAATGTCATTGAAAAATTAAAGAAAATTCAAATGAGATAGACCACGGTCCTGGCTTACAAGATGCAATATTGTAATGATGGCAGTTCTTTCCACCTGAAGTTTGAGTGCAACTCCAATGTAAGTTTCAGGGATTTTTCTGAGTGAACAGGTATGGGGTGGGAATGTAGAATGAGGATGGAAGACAGTAAATAGCTGATTTTTAAATTTATATAAGTGTGGGTTAGGCTAAGAATTGCCAAGGCAATCTTGAAGAATAAAATATCAAGACCTATTATTGGGCTGTAGGAATGAAGGGAATATGTTGGTATTGCACAAGGAAAGACAGCAGACAAATGGGACAGAGTAGAGGGTCAGCACACAGGCCTACCCATATGTGGTCACTTTCTGTGTGACAGGTATGACAGTGTAGTACTGTGAAGAAGGCTCTTTCAAGGAGTGGTACTAGGTTCGTCCGCCTGAAAATAAAATGAAGCTTGGTTCATTATACTGTTTATAAAAAATACATTCCAGATGGATTAATGTGAGTGGTAAAATGAGACTTTTAGACAATAACATGGTAAAATATTTTCATGACATTGAGGCAGATGTAACCAGATACAAAAATGCTCACTGTAAATGCAAGGGTTTGATCAATGAACTATATATTAAAACCGAGAACTTCTGTTCTTCAAAAGCTAGCATTAAGAGAATGAAAAGACATTTTGCAGAGGGAGGGAGGACTTGTTTGAAATATCTGTGTTACAAAGGCTTCAATCCAGAATCTATAAGGTGCTCTTAGAAAAAAAATTTTTTTTGAAGGGCAAAAGACTTGATTATTTTCTTCAAAGGAGTTTCTCCAAAAGATTAGTACGTTTCTGAAAAGTTACCTTACTTTATTAGTCATTCACTAGTCTGTTTTCAGGAAATAGAAATAACAGCCACAAAGTGGTATTACAGTATACCTGCCAGAATAGCAAAAGTGAAGGGGCAAGAACATAGCTAGTTGAATGAAATCCATAGGACCACCTTGGAAAACTGGTAGTGTCTGCTGAAGTTTAACATGCTCGAAGATTTACATACATACATTGCCAAAGGATGTGTACCAGAATGTTCATAGCAACATTATTCCTAGTAGCCCCAACTAGAAACTTCCCAGGTATTCACTAACAGTGGGATGGAAAAATTAGTCATATAATGCATCTAACAGTAGTGAGCGTGAACAACCATAAATATAGTCAGCAGTAAGTGTGACTCGTACAGTGTTGAACCAAAAACCCATCAAGAATTCAGACCTTTTCATTAACATAAAGCTCAGCTTGTCTGTAGTGTTACAGTCAGGCCAGTTTTGGGAGGGATGGAGTAAGGCTGCCTGGCACCATGAAGGGCATATTGGGGGCGTTAGAAATCTGTTCCTTGATTTGTGGCTGTGTGTAGATGTGGATTGTTTTTGTTTTAATTCCTGGAGCTCTCTTTGTGCATTTCTTTGTGCATTTTTCCTTAGTGAAAGCTTAATGACAGACAGGCTGCAGTATTGGTTTTTAAGAAATGAAGATTTTGCTACATGGATTCCTTCCTGTTGAACCATATTTCATAGCTATTTTGGTAATGCACAAAGTAATTTTGCTACAGTTTAATTTCAGCTAATTAATGAGGGATGATTTCTGGGTGACTTTAATTAGGGCATAACTTGTAATTTTAGTTTATCTCTTCCGTTTAGTTCACACATCTAACACTGCTGTCCACAGACCTTGCAGTGATGAAATGTACTTTGTTATCTCCATTACATTTTCCCGTTATCCAGAAGTAGACTGTTCCTGTTTGGTAGGTTATTTTTTGGATCTTGGAATGCTCAAAATTATTCCATGTAAGCTAATGGTAACAGCATTTCATAACTTGGTGTAACCTACCAAGTTACACTAAACGGGGTGTCTGTTTTGTTCTATCATCTCTTGGGCTTCAGTCCTCTAAGTGCTGGTGTTACCAGTGATACGGAGCTGTGGGAGTGTGTGTCCTCATGGGCTTCTCTCAGGAAGCATGGCTGAATTGATCTACTTGCAACTCCACGCCATGTATGAATACATTCTTTGAGCATAGAGAATATATTTATAATATAACATGTTGGTAGAAGTTACTGAGAGGCACTTTGGAATAGGAGGAGGATTGTGGCATGCCTGCTCTAACAGACTTTCTTCACATATCATAAGCTTTAGTGCGCTAATATTTATTTTATAGTGACTTGTTGGTGCCCACTGTTTTTTGATTAAGTGAGATGTCCCTGTGCCCCTGCTCCGATGCCCATGTGCTATTGTCTCTTGCAGAGCCGGGCCCGTCCTGTCTCGGCAGCATGCTCATGCCCGTGCAGGAGACTGTTTGGGAAGAGCTCGTCCGCACTGGCCAGATGACACCTTTTGGTACCAAGATCCCTCAGAGACAGGAGAAAAAGCCTAGAAAGCTAATGCTCAACGAAGCATCAGGCTTTGAAAAGTATTTGGCAGATCAGGCAAAACTGTCTTTTGAAAGGAAGAAGCAAGCTTGTACTAAAAGAACAGCTACAAAAGCTCGGGCCTCCGTCACTTCAGAACTGAGTTCAACATGCAGTGAAAACAAGCCAAACAAGAGAAGCCAAGGTCTCTCAAAAACAGACAAACGGTTGAAAAAGAAGATCAAAAAACTCCAGAGGAAGGCTCTTCAGTTCCAGGGGAAAGTGGGATTGCTAAAGGGAAAGAAATCACTGGAGTCTGAGGTGAGGCCAGAGGCAGAGGGAGACTCCCAGGGCGAGGAGTCTGAGTACTTGCCCTCAGAGGAGGAGCAGGAGGCGGCGGTGGGGCCTGAGCTGTCGGGAGAGGGCGCCGACTACGAACTGAAGCCCTTACACAAAAACCGGAGACGGAGTAAGAAAGCTGCAGTGCAGGAGGTTGATGATGACTTTTTCCCAAGTTCTGAGGAAGAATCTGAAGCTGCAGGAGGAAGCAGAGGTCGGAAAGTATTGAGGTGCAGAGATGACGGAGATGAAGATTACTATAAGCAGCGGTTAAGGTCAGTCTGCAGAGATTGTACATGGATTGCACTGCCTATACTGCTTTGTCTTAGGTAGCAGGTTTATCGATAAATAATAATCTTGGATCCAGTTTATTGTGTTAGCTCCCTGCTTACTCAAAGGCTGGACGTCCCACAGCCTTATCCTGCTAGAACCCACAGAGCTCGCTCACCCACAGAGTGGGCCGGAAAAGCTTCTGCTTCTAGTTTTAATTCAGACTCAAGGACAAGACTAAGAAGTCAAGCTTAGGGGAAGGGCTAGGCAAGAGGTATGCCAAGGGCTGAAGTTTAAGTTTTTATTCCTGGATGATGTTCCTTTGCCCCAATATTCAATAGCATTTTTGATTTCTCACTGTAGAGAGGACTTAGTTCATTATAGTTTTCCACTGGCCTTTATGGATGAAGATTAACTTTGCATTTTTCCTTCTAAACTGTAGTGACCCACATCTAAACTGCCACATATATACCCTCTAAACTGCCACATATATACATCTAAACTGCCACATATATACCCTCACCTTTTAAAAGATGTAGTGTCGCTCCCTTCACAAAGAATTTGAGGGCCTGTGACCTGAATCTAGTTCCTGAGATCTGGTTATCTCACATTGTAGTAGGGTAGACAGTAATTCACAGTTGAGGGGTGGTTTAGATTTGTCATTCGCAATGTAGCTTTAAAGTTATTTTGCACAACTGATATCTGTGAAGCTGTTTAAGGGATATTGCTCAATATTCTTGAACAGCAAGCAGTGTCAGTTTTTTTTCTTTACTCCTGTAGAGAATTAATAAAAGTTAATCCTAGAGTATTGATTATAAATGGAGCAATATATTCTTCCCATTAAAGTGGGTCAATAGTAAGCATATTTTAGATAAATCCGCCTTTTGATCAAGAGTAATTTATTTTGATTGAATTTTAAATGTGGATTTAGTTTAACTTTATGGCAATAAGTTTTCTTACTAAGATTAAGTCTGTAAAACAATTTATTATTTCCAAATCATAAGCCAGAGTTTGCTAGTTACAGTAAGCTCTTAAATGAATTTCAGAAATATCAATAACTAATTATCACCAAAATACTATAACTCTTAAAATTTTATAGCTATAGTTATTAAGGCTATTAAACTGCAGAATGCCACATTGAAATGTTTGGTACTTTGGACTAGGGATGTGGAAGAAATGAAATGCTCAGGATTGGGAAGAATACTAAGAACAGTTGAAAGTACCAGTTCCTTATGTTTTGTTTTTTTTGGTTGATTTTGGTAGATAGATTGAACTTATAATGGTATTCTCTTGAGTTAAAAAAAAAAAGCTTCAGGATTTCTCATCTGGTGGATGATCAGAATAAAGTCACATAGTTTCTATCAGAAAATGAATTTTCTTTAATTGGTAGAATTTAGGCATCTGTGCCCAGGCACTTTTTATTGAACTTGGCAAATGTGTTTGGTTACAGTCCTGTTCGATATAGTAAACATCTCCCTTTACTCTCCCAGCTTTCAGCTTGCAGGTGTTTATTTAATTCTAGTCCTAATGAGGTGTCTTTGCTTGAGCTGATGCTTGGTGGGACTTTCCTACCAGCCTTCCCTATTTCTGAATCATTTTTGGAAGTGGGTAACAACACCCGTGATACTACTTTTTCTGATCTAACGCAAGACCTCAGGTCAGCTGCCTAGGTATTTTGCCTTTCCCACCTTTTTCTTTTGCTTCTTTCTGTGTCAAACCACATCTGAAGGCTGTCTCCCCTGTGGTGGTCTTGATTTTCATGCCTCCGATAATGAATGAGAATTGATGAGCCACATCTTAGAAGTATTTGTGGATTCTTATTCACATTAGTTGTATATAGATCTTACAAAACATCTGTGGATCTGAACTTTGCATTTTGTGGTACAAAATTCCCATTGAAGTATGGTTCTCAATTTTGAGGACTAGCTCTTGAAACATTGCTGCTTTAGAAAGTTCAGGCCAGGAACCAAGTTCATACTTAATAGAACTAACACTCCTCCAGTGCTGGAGTGGTACGTTTCCCTGTGGAGCACTTACCCTGTCCAGTCTGCAGGCCAGGACAGCCCAGCGTGGCCTAGAAGACCCACCATCACAGGGCTGTGCCTTCCCCTCAGAGGTCATCACAGAGCAGCAGTCCCTGTTACCTTAATGGTCTTGACTCATTTCCCAGCTAAGTGCGGTCAACTCCCATTGCTTCATCTTTGCTCTTACAGCATGAATGCCTGTCTGCACACCAGCACTGGCTTTTGGGTTTTCAGCAAGGAATTTGCAGTCTCCTGGAGAATGTGGGCACAAAGAGGACCTTGTGAGTGTGAAGAGAATAATGAATTCAGACTGAGGCACTTGGAGACGACTTTGTGGAAGAAGTTTATCTAAGCACAGGAGCCTTGTCTGTTGGGCAGTTCAGATGCGTTGACTTGGACCTTAGGATGCAGGTTAGAGACTTGCCTCCTCGCTGTACAACTTCAAATGTGTTAGCGACAAGGAATACACTTTTTTTGCTTCAGAGGCACATTCATACCTTAGGCTCTCATTCATAGTGCCTTGGAGATTGGCCTGGTGGTTGTGGTCTGCAGAGAGAGGCCTCTTTCTTAGCCATCCATATTTGGACAGTGAAGTCATACAGCCCTCGCCTCACTGGCCACCTCCCATCTTGAGCTGTGGTAGTCTGTTCATGGGGACACTGAGGCTCTGTTGGAGGTCCTTGGGAAACTGGGCCAAAATCCATAAGTGACGTCTGTCAGTATATCCTAGGCTGGAGTCAGGGCGAGCAATAGTATTCATGCGGGCTGTTTGCCAGCCGTGAATTTATATAACTCAGACAAAAAGTGTAACCAACTCATGATTCTTTCCCCAGTCGTGGTGAGCCCTGCTTTGAGCCCACTTGGGTCATACATCAGGTTACATCACGAAGTGGGGGAGGCACTTACTTGCAAGGATGTTTTGTGTCCTGCTGGCGAGACTGGTTAGTGTTTGTAATTTGACTTTAAACCCGCTTGCTGAGGCTCTTCTGTTTCCACTTGCCAGCCACTGTTGCTTCAGTCGCTGGCCTATCGGCCTACATTTCCCTGAACCAGAGATGGAAGCAGAGGCTCCCAGCCCACAGGCTGCTTCTGCAGAGTCACCTGGGAGCCCCAGCACTGGGGGTGCTGATTCAGAAAATTCAGCCTGGCACTGTGGGGCAGTAAGATTTGAAACTTTCCCAGGTGATTCTGGGGGTACTGATAACTTTGAGAACCATTTGATGTCTATAAATCCATTTTTATGTTCTTTTCCTTTCTCAGGCTGTAACTTTTGGGAGGTTCAGTTTGTATATCATTTTCTCTAACATCCTCTTTCCTGTATCCTTTTCAATTCAGTTGTTACCTCCAAATGATTTGAAGGGTTTCTACCCTCCACCCACCTTTCAGCGCTTTGGAATCTATTTTTTATTGTGAAAATATGATAGTAAAATGAAGAAAGATAGCTTTATTTTTTGTTACTTTCTACATTTCATTCCAGTCTATGACCCTAAGCAGACATCTTTCAGTTGTCATAGTTATATGAACTTTAGTGGACTATTATCCGCATCATAGTTATTTCAAGGTGAACAGCTTGCCCATCATCTCACTGTTTATAGGTAGACCTGGGATTTGAGACTGGGACAGGATTGTGTGAATGTTTTTTCCATCCCTTTGTGGATTGGGGTGGAATGTGCAGTATCAAGTTGTGACCACAAGGTGGTGCCAAGATTCAGCGCATAGCTTCCTCTGCTTCCCAGGACTGGAAACCAAGCCAAAAACTGAAGCCAGGGATTTGAGATTGGTATGAGGATTTGGAGAGTCAGGTCTAGAAGACCTTCCAAATATGGTGTGTCTGGAAATACGATTTACTTCATAGTCACACATAACCTGTAGTCACAATGCGTATAGCTAGGTTTTTCAAGTTTTTTCCCCTAAAGATTTTCTTTTCTTCTCCTCCCTTTTAAACTTTATTTTACATGACTAACTTTGAGTTAAGAAAGACTGATGACTCTGTTCGTTGTGTAAATCTTACAGAGTATTCTAACAGTTCGCAGAGCTTCATCACTGGCCCTTCCCTTCATCTTTATGGCCTTTCCCTTGAGCACTGGCACTCCTGTGGCCAGTGGTGAGGTGGAGCTTAGTGTGGAGGCTTTGGTGTGTACCCGTATGGTGCGGGAAGGGGATGGCTGTCAGTGTTTTCAGATGCTGCAGAGGGGATCAAGTAGGATAAATGCTGAAAAAGCCTTCCTGGACTTGAAAATTTGGGGACTTCAATGACTGGAGCGAGGGTTCTTGGTGGAGGGTGAGGGTCGGTGACAGCAGTAACTTATTGTTTTTAAGTGCTTATACTTGGCAGTGCTTCCCTTTATATAGGTTCTTGGGTTTAATTTTCACAACTTCCTGGGAGATTTTGGAACCTGAGCCCAGAAAGCTGAAGTCATTTGCCCAGACAATACTATGTGGAGAAGCCTGGAGTAGGGAAAGGGTCTAAAATAGTTCTGGTCTTGCGGGTGTCACCTGTCAGGCTGGTCCTGTGCACTGGACTCAGAAGGGTGATGGCCCAGGGATCACTGTCTCAGCTGCATACTTTATGGGGGCCTGTCGCTTGCCTACAGTGCTGCTGACGGACAAGGTATGGTAACATACATTTGAGGAAGCGCGAAACTTTCTTCCTAAAATACAGACAGTGTTGTAAGCCAGTGTTACCACAGTAAAAGATAAATTAAAACTTAAATGTTAACCCATTCCTCCCAAAATAAAACATAGATTCCCAAAAGGGAAAAAAAATGGGTTTAGTTGTTGAAAGCAGAACTTAACTCCTAGAAACTGATAAGATCATTAAACCATTATCATAGTTAATGGTTTAATGCTCCCTAGAACCACTCTCCCGGCTGCTCTGTCTGCATTATGTAACCTTTGTGGAGCCTCTTCTCTTCCTTTGGACAAGAGCAGACTCTTCGCAGTGGGAATTTCCCCATTTGTCCTTCGTTGGAGCTCTGCAC